TGCAGGAAGGAGCAAAAGAATCCGATGACACTACTGCTATAACATTTTATTTATTTAAATTATTTATAGGCCGCCTTTCTACCCAACAGATAAAGGAAGAAATTTAAAGACATTATATAAGTATCACATTAAAAACTCTCAACAATTTAACATGCATTCGGACACGACTAAATGACTAAACAACAAGGTTTTTAAAAATTGGAGATCAAAACATTTCAAAATTGAAAAGCCTGTATGAATCAGCCTTCCTGAGAAGAACTTACTGCTTAAAGGGTTACCTGATGAGGGCAGGTCTTTTCCTGAGGATAGAAGGCTGAGAGGGAGAGGACAACCTGGATTCTTGGGGTGGGGTCCTCTCTTACCTCTCTGTTCTGCCCTCACCCCATTGAGGTTGGGAAGGTGATGCACAATGAGCCTCGTGGCACAGTGGTTAAAACGCTGTACTGCAGCTAAAACTGTGCTCACGACCTGGGGTTCAAATCCCAGGTAGCCGGCTCAAGGTTGACTCAGCCTTCCATCCTTCTGAGGTCGGTCAAATGAGTACCCAGCTTGCTGGGGGGGCAATGTGTAGCCTGTATAATGAAATTGTAAACCGCCTGGAGAGTGCTCGTAGCACTATGGGGCGGTATATAAGTCCAAAAATAAATAAATAAATGCACCTGAGAGAAGGGCTTCCCTAGAACAGTGGTCCTCAACCTTGGGCCTCCAGATGTTCTTGGATTACAACTCCCAGAAGTGTACACCTCCACCTCTTAAGAGGAGAAGGGGGCAACAGCGGATGAGAGGGTTGGGCAGTATTGTGTTTTTAATCATGCGAAAACCTCACAAGTTGGTCTAGTTGGACACATGAAGCATGACTGCACCCCTTTCTGCCTACCTCCTTACTAGAGTAGAAGGACTGGCCTCCTGGCAAACTTTCATTGTATATAATACGGGAACAGGTGACACCTTATATTGTGTAAGAGTAGGAAGAACATCTGGAGGCCCAAGGTTGAGGAGATCCAAAAAGCCAAGAAGGATGTATAACATCAGCCTTGTGGTGCCAAAGCATGGCTGGTTTGAGGAGCTTGTAGCTGGAGTAGATTGAAATTCCACTGAGGTGGGTACCTTACATAGAAGAAGGGGGAAGGAGAGATCCTCGTATTGTGTTTTTAGCCATGCAAAAACCTCACAAGTTGCTCTAACTGGGCACATGAAGTGTGACGGCACCCCTTTCTGCCTACCTCTTTACTAGAGTAGAAGCACTGGCCTCCTGGCAAACTTTCATTGTATGTAATACGGGAACAGGTGACACCTTTCGTTGTGTAAGAGTAGCATGACAGTGGGAGATGTCAGTGAATGGTGTGCAGATGAATTCTTGCCTGCCTCTGAACGGATGTGTCAATGTTCACTCCCTCTTGATATGTGTGTGAATCCAAGCCCTGTAGATACTGTTCCTTTTAGAGATAAAAGCAACAAATATGTCACTGACACACTGCAAAAGAAGTATAATGTATTTATGTAACGCATTTAGATCTTTGCTCCTGGAAGGACAGGTTGATCGCAAGCACCAGGTTATTTGTAATGACTTCATTTCCTAGCTTTGAGTGTCCCTGAACCTTTGAGCACCGATCATTCAGTTAAGTATCTGTGGCACCTTTACACACTCAGCCACATTTACCAGGGAAAAGAAATCACTCTTTCAAAAAAAAAATCCAGCTTGTTTCATTCTAGATGTTTTGAGTCACATCTCCCATCTGCCACGTTCGGTTGAACATGCTTGAAGAGTTCGCATGACCAAGACTGATTTTATCCATGATCCCCATCCTTAGAGCTCTAAAACAGCATCCAGTTGCATGTAGTTCCAAAACGTAGTATAGACATTCGTGCTCAACACACAGAAGGCCAGAATGCTCTGGTTTGGAGGACAGGGTTTATGTATGGGTGCCGGCCCCCAGGCTTGCTTTCATCCTGGGCTTATCTTCAGATGAATGTTTGGTGTTCACACACGGTGAGTTGAAAGGGGAAACGATGGCAGTATTGCAGAAAGAGAAGCTGCTGTGTAAACAATTAGATGGCTCAAATTGCATATTGCACTCAATATGTGTTCTGTTTTACCAGCATCTTCTCCCCACCCCTCCTCCAGATTCTGCTAGATCAGTTAAATTCAATTGCTAATGTTTCAAGTATAACAGTGTCTTTAAAGGTCTGTTGCCTTGAAACAGGTGTGGATTCTGTAACTCCGTGGTGACGATCAAGTCTAGACCTGCGATTTGAGTTAGCCCACATCGGTTTGATTGCTAGAGAGTCTGTACTGGCATCTTTAAAGATACGAACGAGTGGCACTTAACCCTCTCTTCCCAGATTACTTCAATCAACATGAGTATTTCAAGCAAACCTGACACTTCATCTCAGCCTTTTAACCTTTTGTTCAAATTCCTTCCTTCCTTCCTTTTTCTAAATTGAGTTTAAAAGATTAATATCTTTTTAAAATTCAAAATTTGAAAGATCAATCTCTTAAGGATCATCTCGATGATTGCTAGGTTTTAGGTTTATCTCAACCTGAATGTTGTTGTATTTATGCAACCGTTCGTTGCTCAGGGGTTGCAAATGGAAGTAGGCATCTTTGGACAGGAACGGCAGAGCTGAGAAAGTTACTTTCAACAAGCAATTAGTTGTGTTATGGTTCAGAGGTGCTTCCCAAAGTAATTTCTATCATAGTTGCAATTCTTTAGAAGTAACTATTTTGCTTCTTGCTTTCCTGAAAGTAACCAATAAAGATTTTAAATTCCTTTAAAATTCCTTCCGTAACTTGGAATGCTAGACGTTACTGGGTTGAATGGCAGAGCATTCTGTCCTTTAGTCCAGTGGTCGCCAACCTTGGGCCTCCAGATGTTCTTGGACTTCAACTCCCGGAAATCCTGGCCAGCAGAGGTGGTGGTGAAGGCTTCTGGGAGTTGGAGTCCAAAAACATCTGGAGGCCCAAGGTTGGGGACCACTGCTTTAGTCCACAATGCAGTTGCCTCAACATCTACGGGAGTGAAGAAGGAAGGAGCAACAAACACAACATAAACTAGCCCTTGATTGATATTCTTCTTTCACCTTACCCCCCTCCCATTGCTATAAATAACTCAGAAGTCACTGTTGACATAGAAAAGGGGTGAAGCTATCTCTTGATACTGTCTCGCTGATAGCCAGAATCCTACTGGGAACCTACGCTGGCATGAGTGTGATTGTATACATCACAGTGGAAAAGTGTTGTTAATTAATGAGTTCTGGTTTGTGTAGTTTGAAAACTGCATCTCTCTCTCCCCCTATCCCCTGCCCCGGACCAGGGAGATAGTATGCTCCCTTCCCCAAACCTAATTCACTAGGATTATTTTCCATTTTTTCCCACCTGCCATCCTGAGCATGCTCTTTGAGGAACAAACAAACCACTCGTTTGGAAGCTGGCAGGGGGAGCAATAAAGATATAATGAAAGTTGGAGGCACTTCATTCTCTCTGCTGAAGCACTTACAAAAAACAAGCACTTCAGATGACTTATGGTGGGTGACTAGCCGCCCCCCCCCAATTTCACACCCCTGGCTTTCTGCCCTGAAATGAATGCTGGAATGTTTGGAGTTCGGGAGATTTCTTTCCCTCTCTTTCCAAAACTGGCTCTTTAGAAGTGGAAAGTCTTGCGATTTATAGCAGATGATTGCCAGTTCCTCTCCTTCCACCGCTGGCATGGGGTCAATAGAGGGTAATGCGTGCACCATTTACCTAGAAGGAACCCCCGCGGGTGGACTCTTGAGAGATGATGGTTTTGTGGTTTTTTTCCCCCCCACCCTTCCTTTTTGCCTATTAAGAAAACACCTTAGCAAGTTTTTCTTTAAAGAAAAACCTGTCAGCAGGCCTTTAAGCAATGAAAACCTGTTCCAAAATCTCTCTCTCTACAGTACTGCCTCTATTTGGAAATCTGATTCCTACCCCATACCAGGACTGTGAAACTCTCCCCTTAAAAGTTTCTCTGTTTTGCGGCTCTTGTTTGCTCACTGGTTTCCGAAAAGGCTCGGATCCACAGAGGTCCATGAAAACTGTTCTCGAAGGACTTCCAAACGCTCAGATTCTTAAAAACTCTACCATTTGATCCCAGGTCCTTTCAGAGTTGCAAAGACAAAGGTTACTTCCAAACGCTCAGATTCTTAAAAACTCCACCATTTGATCCCAGACGAAGGTTTGTAATACTCTTAGAACTGCAAAGCTGGAAGGGACCCTGTGGGTCATCCAGTCCAGCCCTATGAAAGAGGCCAAAAGCTGGAAGGGACCCTGTGGGTCATCCATTCCAGCCCTATTAAAGAGGCCAGTGGAGAATCGAACTCGCCACCTTTGGCTCCCCAGCCAGATAACTAAATCACTGAGCTATCCAGGAGTTCTTTCCCATATCCTGTCTTGTTATTGGGAAAAATTGCCGAGACTTCATATTGATGAAAGCTTGGAAGTAACATGTTAACACGGGGTGTGTGAGATTCCCCCCCAAAAAACACATCTGTTATCTTCTTAAAGGAATTAAATTAAATTAAATTAATTAATTTAAAATATTGTTACTTTGCCTTTCTCCTTAAAAAGAATCCAAGGAAGCTTCTACCCATTAAAGGCAATGTTTAAAAGCTAAAAGGAGTAAGTATACACACATTTTAAAAGAAACAAATAAATTCAACACAAAATCATCACGGAAAACCTATTCAAAGCAACATGGCACAATAATTCAATGTAAAAAAAAAACCATTTTAGACAGCCAGTCACTAAGGAAAAAGCCTGCTTGAAAGAAAGGTTTTCATCTGCTTGTGGAAGGACAGCAAAGATGGGGTAAGGCTGGCCTCTAGTGGGAGGGCGTTCCAGAGTCTGGGAGCAGCAACCGAGAAGGCCCTCTCCCATCTCCCCAAAAACCTGTACCTGTTCCCCTTTTAAATGTATCTCTATTACTTTAAAAAATGGATGGGAAACATCCAAAGTCTTATTAGATTGAGCCATCCTAGCGGATGGTGAACGAGAGGGCTGTACACAGGCCACTGGATCTGATTTGAAGACTATATTGGGGGGCACTATAATGGAACCTGATTTAGTCTAGAGCTATTAATTTGGTTTTTGTCCCAGATCCAAGCCAGGCTGTAAACGTACACTGAAAAAAGCAAAGTGGCTATCCCCCCCCCCAAAGTACCTACATTTTAGATGTGATAGACCGTAAAGAGGGAAGGAAATCTGCCAGACAGTTAGCTTTAGGAGGTTTATGTACTTAGCATTTTTAAAGTTTGAGGAGGAGGTTGAAGTGCTTTGTGTCTCATCCAGTTCAATGTGTGCTGCCAATGTAAATCAATTTATAAATTCAGTTCAATTTTAGGAGGTTTATGTACTTAGCATTTTTAAAGTTTGAGGAGGAGGTTGAAGTGCTTTGTGTCTCATCCAGTTCAATGTGTGCTGCCAATGTAAATCAATTTATAAATTCAGTTCAATTTGCCCTGAAATTGGATCTGACCATTTTGCTTGGCTCTGGACCTGAGACCCAAATGGGTCCAACTCAAGTTGATTAGATTCAAAATGGAGGATGATTTATCCGGATCTTGTGCACAGGCCTGGTGAGAGGTGATGGGAACTGTTCCAATAACAGCTGGAAGACCACGCATAAAATTCCAAGGTGCTCTATATGTCTCAAATAGTCCAAATAGCTTTGTAGGGAATTACAACTCCCATCACTCCACCGCGACCCTGCTGTCTCAGGGATTCTGGAACTTGTAGTCCGAAAACATTACTATTCCTAAGCATTGCATAATTTGATCTGTGTGTAAGTCTGCCTCACAGTCACCAAGTCCCTTGTCATTTTTATCTCTTCAGGTGTAAAGTTGACGTAGCTGCGCTCCCTAGCAAGCAAAGGAGCCATTTGGAAGTTCCTCTGGAGAAATCTCCTGGGTCCCTCATGATGGTCATCACCGTTGCTCCCTGCTCTGGGGTTTCTATCTCTGACTTGTGCGTTTGTCCCTTGGGAGACCCCAATGAGAGGAAACAGATTGCCAAGCGTTACGTAAGTGGCAATGAATGTGCTTTTACTTTATTTTAAGGAAAACCAGGTGGTGGGGGGGCATAGAGGGAAGGAAGAGATTTGAAAAGTCAAAAACCCAAGTCCAAATCCTAATTGCCTTACTGTTGCTGGAAGGAATGAAAACGTACAGCGTGCCAAGTAAATTGTTTGTATAGCTAGTCTTAGATTTTATGGGCTGTTTGCATTTGGTAGTTCACCAAGCAGGGGAGACAGAGACCCACTATCCTTCATTTTTGGCCCAAATTACTTTACTGGGCTTTGCTCTTCCTGAGTGTCGTTTTGCTATCAAGTGAAGTTTAATGAACCTGGAGACGGTTCCGTACCCTCCAGATGTGGTCGGACGACAGCTCCGTTGCCCTTAGCCAGCCTGAGGAAGACTTTTCTTAAACAAGAAACTGTGCTGCTCAGAGGTTTTCAGACATGTCCAAAATGAATGGTGTCTTTGGGTGAAGACGTCAGCTTATTTGGATGCTCCTCCAATGCTATCAAGTGAAGTTTAATGAACCTGGAGACGGTTCCGTACCCTCCAGATGTGGTCGGACGACAGCTCCGTTGCCCTTAGCCAGCCTGAGGAAGACTTTTCTTAAACAAGAAACTGTGCTGCTCAGAGGTTTTCAGACATGTCCAAAATGAATGGTGTCTTTGGGTGAAGACGTCAGCTTATTTGGATGCTCCTCCAATTCTGTGTGTGTGTGTCTCTCTGTCTCTGAGCTGCAGAAAGTTCCTCTCCCCCCCCCCCCGGCTTCTAATCAGAAGAAATAGCTTTTCCAATCTTGGATCTGCCTATTACGACTGAGTAAGGATACAAAAATGTAGGTACCTTGCTCAGTTGCCCCTTGTTGTGAGGTAGTCCAGGAATAGCTGGTTCTTCTTTGTGGCCTCTGTGAATCACACCCTGTGAATCACGCCCTGGGTGATCCGCGCCTGCGCAGAGCCTCATCGGAACGTTCTAGAGCTTCTGCGGTAGCAAAAAACGCGTTAGAATAAGGCCCCTCCCCCCTTGTATTAGTACCTTGGCGCCAAGGCTCCCCTTTCAGTTGTGCCAACCGCCACTAAATTAAGGAGAATGGTGTGACAGTGGGGAGGACGGGCGGGATGTGTGAATGGGAGGGTGGCGTTCACTTTTTTAACAGAGAGGGGATAGTAGCTGGAAGGGAAGAGAAGCCAACGCTTCAGACCATCAGAGTCCTTGGTAGGCATAAGCATCATCTCCTTCCTGTGTTGGTCAGCAGGGCTAGGAATAAGGAGAAGGACATCTCCCCCCTTTGGTGGTGATTGTGTACCCCACAATGCCCCACATGTTGGGGGCGGTACATGGTGACTTTCTGTCACAGGACCCTTGAGGGAGAAGCATCTTTGATGAGACTCATAATCACACTGAAGAAAATACTTTCAAATGGTACTAGACATTTCAGTGTCCTATGATTATCCATAATATGCATGGCTTTAGTGGTCTTACATAAAAGGAGGTAAAATGAGTGCCTGGCTCGCGGTGGGGGGGGGACACACGACAAATTGATGTCTGAATAATTATGTTAGAAACTACCCACAGAGTGCTCCAAACACTATGTAAGTTGAAACAGCAACATGGTTTAAGTATTCAGATTCTCTTTAAATTGGCATAATTTAAAATATTTTTAAATTTAAACTATTTTTTATAACCCACTCTGAGATGGTGGGATATAGATCTTCTAAATAAAGAAATAAGCCACAAGTTAAATGTGAATTTTGTCTCTTCACTGAAAGATAGCTTATAAACATGTAAAATCAAATGAATATTTCTATATATTTCACCTTTTTCTAACCATGCCTTTTCCCCCCCAGTGTATAGCGAACTCGTTCCAGAACCTAAGTGACATAGGTTTCCTGCAAGTCAAAGTTTTAAAAGCTGTCAATCTGTTAGCTGCAGATTTTTCAGGTATAAAATACTGCTTTTCTAAAGTTTATTTGTCTTTCATTATGTTCAAGTCACCAGAATTAAAATGGGAACTGAGTTGAGCCTTTTGTTTTTATTATGAAAAACAATATAATAGAATGCGTGCATAAAAGTGATGGATGTAAAAAGAGTGCAGAAGGTAGAATGTATTTAAGAAGATTCATGCATTTTATCTGTTAACCAAGCCGTTCTGTGTTATGCAAAATACAGGACCCTGAAATTGGTCTTTCTACAATGTAATAAAAGTAGATTATTTCTGAATGATTTTTTTTCTTTTTTGCATCCATCTTTACTTGGTTAAAAATATTTGATATTGTGGCTGTATTCCTGGTACTTAGGAAAAAAGTATTCAAAAGCAGGTGGGGGAAACAGAAAAAAAATTACAGGTAAATTTACAGGTGTGAAATATGTATGGCACTACCTTCCTGTGTTCATGATTCCATCCAATATGTGAAGTAAACAAGGGTATAATATCAAGGGCAATCTTTCTACTTACTGAGAAACTGGGGCTGAGTGAACTACGTACTGTGGTTTGTAACCTCAGCCCATCCACTGCTCACCCATGGTCCTGGAATAATATTGACCTATCCTATAGCCAGTGAAGTAAGTAGATATTTGATTAGGTTTAGGTAGGAGATCTGGATTCATGGATTCAAGTCCCTACCCAGCCGTAGAAGTTCACCAGTTGTAACCTGTAGAACCGTTCCTTAAGTATCTCTCTTACCTTGAAAAGTCTATTAGGATTGCCCTAAGTTGGTTCCAACTTGGTTCTGATTTAGGGCAACTTGTTGACAGTGGATCGCAACAACACAAGTTGGTCTTAAGCAGCTAATCAGAAGCTACTGTTCAAAGAGGGGCACTTTGAGGTGGGAAGATGGTGGTCTAGAGCAGCTATTCTCAATGGGGGCCATGGAGCATTTGAAGGGGGGCACAGACTGGAAACTAGCCTTCATGCACCACTTTATAGGTATCATCGTGCGATTTATACGATCCTGATTTGACCTATATTTCTTTCATACAGTGGTGCCTTGCTTAACAACGATAATCCGTTCCAGGAAAATCGCCGTTAAGCGAAAACATCATAAAGCAAAAATAAAAACCCCATTGAAACGCATTGAAACCCGTTCAGGACGTTCCAATGGGGTAAAAACTCACTGTCCAGCGAAGATCCTCCATACGGCAGCCATTTTCGCTGCCTCTATAGCGAGGAATCCATCCCTAAACACAGAGGGGAGCCATTTTAATCACCCAGTGGCCATTTTGAAACCGCCGATCAGCTGTTAAAACATCGTTTTGCAAAGAATCGGTTCCCGAAGCAGGGAACCGATCATCGCAAAGCGAATTTCCCCCATTGAAACCATCGTTTTGTGATTGCAATTGCAATCGCAAAAAGATCGTCATAAAGCTGATTCGTCGTAATGCGGGGCAGTAGTTAAGCGAGGCACCACTGAATTTGTTTATGGCCATGGCCGGTTGAGAAGGGCTAGTCTAAAGAGTTGTTTCGTCTCCCCAAGGTGAGGTGATGTCCTCAAGATGGGCACAAACCCCCGGTTGGGTGGTTCGGTATGGTTCGTTTCCTGGCCAGGCAGCTGATCTGCAGTTCAACACACCACAGCTCAGGGCAGCCACTGGGAGGGGCCAGGGTGTCAAACCATGAATCGGCTGTTCAACCAGGAAACAAACCGGGCTAAACCACCAAACCAACAGTTTGCTCCTATCTCTAATAACCGCAACATCCTCCATATTTGTATGGGACAAGTGTGTCTGCTTGAATGGAGGAAGCAGGAAAGAGATTTCTGGCCCCTGGCTGTTGATTCTTATCGTCTATGAATCCAGACTAGAGAACTGTTGATGTTCCAGATATTGTTGAACTCTTAATTCCCATTAGCTCTGCTTAGCCAACCTGGCTTGCATTTTCCTCCTGCCAAAATCTGAGATCAGATTCCAAAAATCTGTGGTTTTGGGAATTTGTATACATTTTATTTATGCATTTCCCACTCAAATGATATATTTTATTCAAGCTTTTTTCTCCTAATGGGTAAACATATGCATTTTCCTCTCACTGACACAACTGTTTATTCCTGCTTCTTCTTCTATTGTGTACCTTTGTAGTCATTTGTTTTTAAAATTCCGACATTGTTTTCTGCATACTTTATTTCTTAGAAGCACTGTGTTAATCTTGCCTAGGTACATATTTTCAAAATGGGATCCCTGAACCAAACCACAAACTGAACAATGAACCAGCCCAGTATTTTTTCCCTGGTTCATGGTTTGGTTCATGCCCATCTCTAATCAAATCTGCTGAATATTTCCCCATCTCAAAACACAGAATCTTCCTGAAAAAACATTTCCCTGCAGCAGAGCCATTTTCTGTTGTCCCTCACAGTAGCTGAGCAGAACTTTGCAACTGCTGAAATGTTTTCTAGTACAGTGTTGCCTCGCAAGATGGGCGCCCCATTTAACAATGAGTCCGCATTACGACGAGGTTTTTGCGATCGCAAAAGCGATCGCAAAACAACGTTTTGAATGGGGGAATTTTGCTGCGCAACGATCGGTTCCCTGTTTCAGGAACTGGTTTTCGCTTCCCGACGATCAAAACCACTGATCATCGGGTTTTCAAAATGGTCGCTGGGTGCTCAAAATGGCTCCCCGCTGTGTTTAGGAGCCATTTTTCACTGCACAGGCACCAGAAAATGGCCACACCATGGAGGATCTTCGCTGGACGGTGAGTTCTTAGCCGATTGGAATGCATTAACCAGGTTTTAATCCGTTTCAATGGCTTTTTAATTTTTGCTATACGACGTTTTCGTTCTACAGCGATGTGATAGACCCTAAAGAGGGAAGGAAATCTGCCAGTTAGTTTTAGGAGGTTTATGTACTTAGCATTTTCAAAGTTTGAGGAGGAGGTTGAAGTACTTTGTGTCTCATCCAGTTCAATGTGCGCTGCCAGTGTAAATCAATTTATAAATTCAGTTCAGTTTGCCCTGAAATTGGATCTGACCATTTTGCTTGGCTCTGGACCTGAGACCCAAATGGGTCCAACTCAAGTTGATTAGATTCAAAATGTAGGATGATTTATCCGGATCTTGTGCACAGGCCTGGTGAGAGGCGATGGGAACCGAGTTCCAATAACAGCTGGAAGACCACGCATAAAATTCCAAGGTGGAATTTTGTCTCAAATAGTTCAAATAGCTTTGGAGGGAATTAATTTTGCTGGAACGAATTAATGTCGTAATGTGAGGCACCACTGTATGTAACTCCTGTAAATAAAGGAAGAAAGTGATTTTGAGAAGACAATGGAAAAACTGGGAGAAATAGTGCCATATGGTGGTCTACAGAAAAACAGATCATTTTTTGCCCCCTCACGTGTCAAATACCTGAAAAGAAAATATTATATTTTATTTTTTTTCTTCTAGGCAAAAGTGATCCTTTCTGTGTGCTGGAGCTTGGCAATGCCAGACTTCAGAGTTATACCATTTATAAAAACCTCAATCCAGAGTGGAACCAGGTCTTCACTTTGTAAGTACATCCTTCTGATGTAGGGCTTGAAAAAAGTTGACGCACCCACACGAGACGAGAAGCTGGAATACAGTTAGTGTTGATTACAACAAAGGAGGACACACACACACACACACACACGAGAGGCTAGAATACTTGTTAGTGTTGATTACATGATGATCTTACCAATATGGAGTATTTTGTAGTAACTAACTTGTACTAAATTCAATCTGTCAGTCCTCAAAAGTGCCACAGAATCATTTGGTTTTGTATACATTTATGAGGCCTTTTGTAACTTGTGCTTGTGGCTGTACAAAGCACACACACACACACACACACACGAGAGGCTAGAATACTTGTTAGTGTTGATTACATGATGATCTTACCAATATGGAGTATTTTGTAGTAACTAACTTGTACTAAATTCAATCTGTCAGTCCTCAAAAGTGCCACAGAATCATTTGGTTTTGTATACATTTATGAGGCCTTTTGTAACTTGTGCTTGTGGCTGTACAAAGCAACACAAGGGGGGGGGGAAGGAAATAGAATTGATGTGATTAGATCTGAGGCAATGTTATTATATGCCAGTTTAATACTCCAGTGTGACCAGGGCTTAATTAGTGACTATGTATGTCCAGCTCTATTTTGAAACAGATGGAGCCCTAATTTTTCTCTCCATCCTTCCAGCCCCGTTAAAGACATCCATGACATTTTAGAAGTGACGGTGTTTGACGAAGATGGAGATAAGCCTCCCGATTTCCTTGGAAAAGTTGCCATCCCTTTACTGTCTGTAAGTTTTTTTACCTTTTGCTCCATGTATCATTCTAGCCTTGATGGTTTCAAGGGGAAATGACTGCACGGCCGGCCCTCCTGTAGACGTAACATGGACAGAAAGACAAATCACCCTTTGTGATGTGTGTGTTTCAGTCGGTATTTATGACAGCCCTTTGTGTTGCCGGTAGGTAGCCTTTCAGTCAAACAGGGAGATGAATTGCAGGAAGAAGAGAAAAATCAGCAATATAGTGTTGGTTCATCAGTGTCACTGTGTGATTTCCCTTTGGAATATGATTTTGATAGCTCCTCTTCTTTCTTGACTTGCATACGCCTCTTTCCAAACTTTAGGGAATGATAGCAAATTTTTAAGATTATAGTTTGTCTTCTACGTAGACTCAGGACTTTCTTAGGTGGTCATTGCTGCTGGTTTACAGGTGGAGACAGCTGTGATATTTAAATTTACAAGTGTACTTGCTTAGATCAGGTGCAGAGGTGGGCACAAACTGAAGCACGAACCTCCTCGAAGCCAGCCCAACAACGCTGCACATGTGCAGCCCCCTGAGCTGATAGGTGGATGCATGTGCAGAGGCAGAGAGAGGGAGGCTGGGACTGGTGCTTCTGAGGATAGTGGAGGAGGCAACGGTGGCTGCCGCAGAATCAGATAAGGAGGCAACGGGGTAAAGGGAAAGGGGGTGGGCAGGGGGCAGAGGTCAGGGGCAGGTGGGTTCTCCCCCCTCCCAGCACAAACCAGGAAAACAAACTGTGAACCAGCCGGATTTGTCATTCTTCCAGTTTGTGCCCATCTCTAATTATGAGGACATCTTTTTTCTCAGAGAGCAGATTTCATGACAGTTGTACTTTCAGTTGGACAACACGCTGGGTTGGTAGTCTTGTCTATCCTTGATGCTTCTGATGGGCTTCCTGTTTGTCTTTAAATCTATCCCATTCCCATGTGAATGCCAATCTATTTATTTGTTACTCCTGGGCATTATTGGGTGTGTGTGGGGGGGAACATGCTCATTATTATGAGAATTGTGAAGTTGCTCCCAAATCTGTGTGCCATGAAGGTCTCCGTGACGTCACAGCTGTTAGCCAATAGGCGCTACCTTCTACATAAGACCTTGGTTGGAAAGTTTGCAAAACCATTTTGAACCCCCAGAGTTCAGTCTGGAGAGCAAAAGTTACATTTTGCACTGAGTGAAGTGCATTTAGCTAATCTGCATTGTTAGACTGAATTCCATCTGCCTCGTTACCCTGCTCCTCATTCTTCTAAGATCAGACAGAGGGAGCTGTCTCCAAAATATGATATGCAGTATGATAAAATCACAGCTCCTTAAGATGTGTTCGCCCTTTGTAAAGAGGTTTGCAGGTTTTGAAGTGTCACAAAACCCTGCAAACCTGTTTCACGCAGAGGACGGAGAGATGAACGTATAAACCCAACAATAGCCATCTTGTACCAAGGCAGGTTCTTCTTTGTGGCCTCTGTGGATCACACCCTGGGTGATCTGTACCTGTGTGGAGCCTCCTCGGAAAGTTCTAGAGCCTCTGCGGTAGCAAAGCACACACAAAATACGTTCTTCACCATTTGAAGCTTCCGCATCAGTCTCAAAGGTAGCCCCACGTAGAGTGCATTACGATGGTCTAATCTCGAGATTACGAGCGCATGGACAACTGTAGTGAGGGTATAGTTACGAGCGCATGGACTAGAATAGTGAGGGTATAGAGATATGGTCGCAGCTGAGCAATCCGCCATAGATGAAAATAGGTGGAGCGGACCACGGATGCCACCTGGGTTTCCATGGTAAGTGCCAGATCCAGGTAGACCCCCAAGCTGCAAACCCTACTCTTTGTGGTGAGAGTCACTCCACCCCAAGGAGAGAGAGTTTCCCAAACTACTCCATTTGTAAGTTTTTGTGACCCAATTAATGGTAATCCTCAACTTAGAACTCTGTTTCTATGAATGGACGGACCACATGGCTACTTTTATTCTGGTTGCTTAAAACAATATTCTCTTTGAAATAGAGTTTAGAAACTCCGTTCCATTATCTTGCAACATTTTAAAGTAGTTTCTAAATGGGTAACACCATTGGGGTGACGACTGGTCTGCCATGGTTAATAGTAGAAGAAAATACATGTTGACTGCTATCCGTGAGAGAGGTTTCAGAAGAAATAACAGAAACAAATGGGATTCTTTTCTTTTGCTTGAACGGTTGGCCTAATTGGCTGTGGTCAGTGATTTTTGTTCACCTCGACCCCGTGAAATGATGGGCTCCCCAAGAGATCTTTGCTGCAGCACAATCCAATGACGCTAAAAGGGAGTCTGGAGCGCCTTGGCTTTTGCAATTTACACACAAAAAAAATCTCCTTGCAAATCTATTTTCTTGTTATTGGGCCACGCCCACATGTACAGCAAACACAGAAGGATGCGCTGATTAATCACAAAGACACAAACAACCCATTCAGTGCTACAGCTTTTGATGGCTCGTGCAACAGTAGTGAATATTGGCTTGTCCAGCTCTGTTCCTCTGACAGAAAAGCACAAAAGTGTGTCTCAGAAATGTGCAAAATCTCTCTGAGACTGTCCACTGACAATCCCACTTTGAAGATTGTTTTCCAATTTTATTTGCTATGCCAGGATTTAGAGGCAGGGTCTGCCTCTTAAACCTGATTACTTTATACTTCCATATTCCTTTTTCAGTTATGAATACAGGTTGCTTTCAGTTGCATCATCTTCTGGACAGCCAACCTTCGGTGTGACTTCTAGACTCCATTTGGATCCATATTCTAATGTCTTTTTCCCCCCATTTGAGCCAATCCATTCTCAAAGCCCGTGTTGCGCGATGAACCGTTGGATGTTTACAGGGAAGGAACAACTCCTTAACATCTTTTATTCCATTTTTGATGGCTCTGTTAATTTCTCCCTGAGTCCTCGTATCCCCGATGTTGCTGGACGGGAGCGGCGTGAGCAGCTGGTCTCCTGGAGAGCCAGCGCCTGCCAAATGGTCTATGTGAGAGGCAGACGGCTGTGTGAGATGACAGTGAGAAGATGTTAGACTCCAATTTTTTCCCCCTCTCTTCATTTTATAGACATTTGTCAAGAGGGTCCCTCAGGAATCATGTAACGAGGCAGGCAGTGTGGGAGGTGGGAGGGAGGAGAAGCATATGCGCAGTGAAAGGGAAGTCCACCTTTTTCAAGGATTTATCGAAAAACAACTCTTATTTTTATTTATTTATCAAAAGAACAATAGCAACAGCCCAATTGTTGGCATTACCAACGGCGGCCTGTGGATGAGAACTATAGCTCTCTCTTAAAATACTTTATATCACTCACTCACACGCACGTATGCACGCACACCACCCCCAACAGAAGTATTTAAGCAAAGCATTTCGTTTTCTACCTCTTGGAGTTTTTATAACCTTGCATACCGCCTGGAGAAGGCATGCCTGAGGTGACTGTCAATCTATCTAGCACCAACCAGTTCTTCCCTCCTGCTTCTAAATTCAAAGACAGTCCCACCCCCTCTGCTGTGTCTTTTCCCCTCTCTCGAGTCTGGTGAAGTCTCTTGTTGAAAGCAATCATGTTTGACTTCCAGTTCAACAGCAAATTGACAATGAAATGTCTTTTATTCTTCTGCTACTAATGTCTCAGAGTGAAAATAAATGGGAAGCCAATAGAACAAGTGAAACATTTTCGATATTTAGGCTTATTGTTTCATTACAAATTAAACTGGTCTTACCCTTGTAAGGTGGCGGTTTCTTTGGCTATGAATCAACTTTCTGCATTAGTCCACTTCCATTTCCATAGTAGACATCAATATGTCCCTGTTACTCTCCAAGTTTTCCAGGCGAAAATCACTAACCAGCTCATCTTTGGGGTCCCTTTTTGGATTACGGCAGCCAACTATGATCACTAACCAGCTCCTCTTTGGGGTCCCTTTTTGGATTATGGCAGCCAACTATAAGATAGACTGTGTAGCTGCCTTCTTTCTGTGCAAGATTTTAGGCATCCCAAATATGATCAGACTTGCAACATTATTAAGTGAATTTGAGCTTCATTTTCCAACTACCCTTGCCTGGTTATCCACTATAAAATTTTGGCTTCGTTTACACTTTCAGAAATATTCCCAATCAAGCATTACTTAACTGTGGATTGTATTTTTGTTTCCTTGTGGGCCAGTACACCTCTCTGTGCTTTTAAAGGCTTATTTCCCACAGGGAAAACTTTGGGGTTTTCTGTGTCCTCCTGTGTCTCAGCCAAGCAGAAAAAAGATGGTTTCAGAGGAAGGCCAAATGGGGAGGCATATGCCTAGGTCTGCACATCTTTGTTTGAAGAACTGGAAGGTGAGATCCAATCTCCAGCTTCTTCAGCTATAAATTTAAAGCAAGGATCTTCAAATGTTTCAATATAACGGCCACATCCTATATTTTACACATTTTGAGGGCCAAAGGGGATACTAAGCAGAAAAAAGATGGTTTCAGAGGAAGGCCAAATGGGGAGGCATATGCCTAGGTCTGCACATCTTTGTTTGAAGAACTGGAAGGTGAGATCCAATCTCCAGCTTCTTCAGCTATAAATTTAAAGCAAGGATCTTCAAATGTTTCAATATAACGGCCACATCCTATATTTTACACATTTTGAGGGCCAAAGGGGAGACTCAAGCGATCCCCTACCCCACTGTCTTTGCAAAGACAACAGAGGTAGGGAATCGCTTGGGTCCCCCTTCCCTCCTCTTCCTATGCCTGGGCCAGATAAAAAGGCAAGACAGGCCGGAGATGGCCCACGGGCTGTAGTTTGGAGACCCTTGCTTTAAAGCAACAACTCCAGTGCCACCTGCGTCTGTCTTAATTTACATTGAAGAAAAAATCTGGCCAAACCCATCTTGCCATGAACCTTTGGGACTCTTTAAGTTTTTTACGCCGAGACAAGCCTGATGACGTGGATGGGCCTGGTCCATGAAAGCTAATAAATTGTACAATTATTTTAGGGGGTCTACAAAAGTATCACTCCTGCATTTG